GTAATCATGTAAAAATTAGTTGGAGTGGTGGTAATGAAGTAAATTCTAAATTAATGTGATCAGATTATTAAAACGTTACTGTATTTGAAATCTAGGCCCAGTCACATGCATCCATCATCTATCAAAGTGAGAGACATTAAACGGTTGACAGAGGGATTGCTAGGAAAAACCACGTTTTACAATCAGAGCTCTTTCAGGGAATTTCACAGTTAATGCTTACTATGTAATTTCTGCCAACTGCCCTGGTTTGACCACAGATACAGTTTAGAAACAGACCTTACTCTTCTAAATAAAACATAAGTACAGTTACAGGACTATAATCTGCCCATCTGTGATGGCAAAATATACCCACTTCCAGGAAGTGAGACAGCTGTGCTGCAAACAAAGAGAAGGACATTAGCATTTACAGCTGGACTAGACCTGCTTTCTAGAGAATCCAGTTCGCATTAACGAGCTGTGGCTCATGGCACCTAACTCTATTTAAAATGCATGAATCCCAGGTGGTAAAAGAAAACAAGAAGGTCGCTGGAGAAGCAATGACAATGGAAGAAACAGGAAACACACAAACTGTCCTCAAACAGACAAAGGCAGTCAGGAGGTCTTTGGATTACTTTATTTCTCTGCTTCACGGCGGTGGAGGAGGGGCGGCGGGAATAATTTCATTTATCTTGGTATTGTCATCTTCTCACATAGCTCATTTAATAGTTACTGAATCATCACCCCGGAATAAGAGCACTAGAAAGTTGAGGTTGACTTGCTTAATTAGCCTTAAGGTACCATGAACAAAATTTTGAGGAACATTTTTATCAGACAATGAAAATTCAAGCTTTTTATTTATTAACACCCAGTCATAGTACAGAAAGAGGTTAATACTACTGTCTAAATCAGTTTGGGAGACTGTTTAAAAATGTTACCCCTGGGTGCCCGGGTGGCTAAGTTGGTTAAGCAACTGCCTTCGGCTCAGGTCATGATCCCGGAGTTCCAGGATCGAGTCCCACCTGCATCAGGGTTCCCTGCTCAGCGGGGAGGTCTGCTTCTCCCTCTGACCCTCTCTCCCTTCTCTCTCAAATAACTAACTAACTAACTAACTAACTAAATAAATAAATAAAAATTAAAAAAAGAAATGTTACCCCTCTTTCAAGTAATACACTGATGTTCACACTGTCAGTGACGAACTTAAATCTCAAAACGGAAAGTTCCAGCTTCTAGTTCCTGGCCGGCTCCTCTGCTTGTCACATACATGAAACAGTGTGGACGAGCTCATGACCGAAGACCGGGTATAGAACTGTTGAGAGATCTAACCAACAAAGACCACTCAAATACAAAGAGCACCAGGTTTTAAGACTGGATTTCTCTGTGTTCTTTCTGGTCAAGTCCATCCTGTGACCGAAGCAGGCCACTATCCCAATGACTAATTCGCCAAATCGAGGTCATTTTGAGGTTTTTAGCTTTGTCCTGACTTTGGCAGAGCTGTTGTTTCTCAGAGTTTGTCAATCCTGCCACGATTTACGTGAAATGAGTGGGCTTTCCCTTCATCACAGTTTAGTGTCTTTTCTATTTTTGCGGTCGTAAAAACAGTCCAAGATCTGCATCTGCTACCCCTCAAAGCATTTGCCATGTTCAGTTTAAGATATCTGGCTGAGAGTCATCAGTGAATCAGTCTTTTGGCAAACTGCCCATCTGGGATCTGACCTGAAGCCAAATAGCATATTTCCCATTGTGACAATTATCTCTTTTATAGGACAACTACAATAGTTAGTCTAGTTTCTAACTACTTGTCTCTGGGACAAGAATGTCCCATTTTAACTATAATGGAGAATAAACAGTCTACTAACTCACAGTTGCCCTAGACATGGGGATTGTCAATTTGAACAGAATTAAAAGTTCAGAAAACATATTTAGCTTTGTAGCTTTCCAGCCCTTAGACTCAGAGTCAACATTATAAGCATAAATTGTCATGGCACAGATGGCTCTTAAAAGGTATGGGACAGCAGACTCTCTGTCCAGACTCAGAGAGGTCACAGAAAGTCAACTGGAGAGGACCTTTTGGTAGAAATCACTCCCATCAGCACGGCTGCAGTACCAACTCTGTCTCCGACCCTCCCCCTTCAGCGGTTCACGTAGGGACACATCTGACTGCACCTACGACACTGTGAGACAGAGGGACGGCTGAGAACCCCCCAGGCCACCCAGTCTTCTAGTTCCTCTGGGCCTACGAAACATGAAGAGTCCAGTTCCCAACATCAAAGGCCCATCATCAAAGCCTCTATTAAATCCAGAAAGAATTCTACACCAAGTGTACTGGGAGAAAGGAATAGGATTTATACTGAGTGTATTAGGGAGAAAGGGATATAATTTCCTTGAGTAAATACACAGTTAAACCTGGTATTCAAGAACTTAATTTTCACCTTCGGCTGCTTTGCTTTCAAGTAACATCAAAGACCCATGACACACAGTGTTGGCAACCTGTCTGACCTGCTACTTAATTAGTTCCTGAATAATAGTTAAAGGTTGAGCTGTCATAAATCGAAAGCGTATTTCCTATAGGTGCAATGTTATTTAAATTAGGGTCCATTCCTGGAAGTTCTTTTCACATCATAAAACCAGCAAAACATCATAAAAAATAAATATAGGACTTTCCAAAGTTAAGTGTGTAAAACCAAACATAAAAAAAGAAAAAAAAAAAAGCTTAGTGCAAACATGACGTGTGGGAATTCTGCTGCATGGCTGACACTAACTGAGGCTTCCTCAAGTCCGAGTCTACTGAAGTCTGGGCTGCAGAGACCATCTCTTCTGGCTAAGTGTTCCCGAGGGAGGCAGTGTTGTGTATTTCTTCCAGAAAATTTCCAAGCATATGACAGACTAAAGGGAAAAAATAAAGCCCTCATTCCCTCAGCCGTGCTAGGAGGGTTTTACACAGCCCATTTCAGCTTCACCATCCTGGGACTCCATGTGGGTACACCTGCTTTCTAAAAATGCCACTTTACCTACCATAATCTACAGTGTCATAACCATGCATTTTAGCCACTGGAGTAAAAAATTAACATCCCTGAGAAAAACAGGTTTACAGAATGAATGTAAATTGGCGTTTTTCAGAAAAGAACAAAAAAGTTTCCAAATTGTTTTCTTTCCCCTGTATTTTCTGTAGGAAACTAGCATTTGAAAATATCTATTGCCCTTCCACCTTATTTCAGACAGAGTTTTATCAAGTTTACTTAAGAAGTCAACCTCCAGAGCACACACCGTACACTCTTGTACTCCTCCCTGAGTGTTCCTTCACGCACTGAAGATAAAACACTGCTATTTAAACCGGAGGACATCTACCACGCCCCACAGCAGCAGTTCCCAAAATGGTGCCTGTACTGGTATCAGTACCCCATGGGAACTCTACAACTGGGGCCTAGCAATTTGCTTTGACAAGCCTTTCCTGGCGGTCCTGATCCCTGTCGTGGTTGGAGAACCACTGCCATAAGCAGCTCCTTTCTGCTAGAAGGTGAACTACAGCAGAAGTCAAGCAAGATCGGCAGATGAGGAGTAAAACGAGGCTGCAGAAGTCCAGAAGAGGAAAGCCTTTTTTGGGTCCAGGGGTTCCGTCTCCTTGGGTTACCTTCCTTCTTAACCCTGTCTCCTCTGGCTGATAAAGAACTGGAGTCACTGGTGTGTTCCTTGAGGAATGTTTCCTTTCCCACAGTCACACCGGGACTGGATATGGAAGCAACCATCAATGGGGATCGTAGACTCTCCTACCCCGGATGCCTGAAGCGATGAGCTAAGGATACTTGTAGTGGACACTCACAGTCTCCTGAGCACCCACCCACCCTCTGTTCTTTTAGAAAAAGAACTGATCTGAGAATCCAACTCTTCCCCACTCTTGGTCCAAATAAAACTTTGGATGGGAGGAGGAATTTACCCCTCTAGGGTTGGAGCAAATGACACTGGTAATGCTGGCCTGGCCAGTCAAAACCCTGCACCATCCCCCCACCCCCCACCCACACATGCTTATTATTAGTTCCAGACTGATCTAAGTTGGTTTGGTGAGAGTGCATCTCAGGACTTCAGAAAGAACTAATTAGTAGAACCTGGCTCTTTCCTGCTATACCTCTGGACAATTCTAAGGCTTAAATGGCAGCAGCTAACTTACCATCTTTTTGCCATTTTGAGAAGGCAGAGCTGGGGATTGAAGAAAAACCAACTACTCGTAATATTTGAATTAATGAATAGTGTCATACCTTAAGTTAAAATTATGCCTGGTCTTTCTAGCCAATAAAATTTCCCTTTTTGCGTCCCCTACTTTCAGCTGGAATTCTGATTACTTGATATGCTGCCCTTTGTATATTCTTTCTTCCCTCCTCTTCCTTCTTTGATAATTTTCAATTCTAAATCTACCTGCCTTAAATCTCTTTAGTTCTCTATTTTATTGACTGCTGCCTGCCTAATTTTCTACAACACGATCTTTCAGATATTCCTGCTAAAATGTCATCTCCCTCTCCATGATGAAACCCCTGGAATCTGGCCTTTTCTCAATTGTCAATATCTCCTATTTCATCTCTCAATTCCAGTGACACTATTCCATTTATGTTTGCCCCACAAGTTTTCCTAACTCGTGACAGAATTTTATCTTCTATTTTCTGAATTTTCCCATATTTTTTCCTATATTTTCTCTATCTATTTAAATCTTTTTTTTTTTTTAATTATTATTTTTTTTTAGGTCTAGCTCAAACCCTATCTTTTATCAGGAAGAGTTTACCTATCCTACCAATATCCTCTAAAATTGCTCCCTTTTTTGGATCAATTTATTTACCTTTCTATGTACACACCTGTACATTACTCCCTTGATAAAACTGGCTAGAGGATAAGAATAGACTTGACCTTTATTTCCTTATTACCTAATAAAGCATACAAACTTGATAAATGTTTGAATAAATCATGTTAAACACTTTACACCTGGAGTGTCACCATTCTTTAACCATCTCAAACTTGTAAAGTAATTTAGATCTTACCTTCAAATCGAGATGAACTACATCATGAGCGTGTAAAAAGCGGACACCTTCTAATATCTGCCTCATGAGTCTTTGAACATCTTTTTCTTTAAAGGCTTCTTCTCTGTCTGCAACACACTGGTCAAAGATTTCACCCCCTGCAGCACTAGGGACAGACAGAAATACACTTCAGTTATAAAGCAAAGGGGCTCATTAAAAACGAGCCTTTTTTTGTTCTTAACATTTTGCATTAAGTATCTTTATTTAAAGTATAAGCTGAGGGGCGCCTGGGTGGCTCAGTGGGTTAAAGCCTCTGCCTTCGGCTCAGGTCATTGATCCCAGGGTCCTGGGATCAAGCCCTGCATCGGGTTCTCTGCTCCACAGGGAACCTGCTTCCCCCTCTCTCTGCCTGTCTCTCTGCCTACTTGTGATCTCTGTCTGTCAAATAAGTAAATAAAATCTTAAAAAATAAATAAAAAATAAATTAAAAAAAACAATTAAAGTATAAGTTGAGTGTCTGTGAACTTCTGTCTACTTGCCTAAATCCATTTTTCGTTTTCAAGTAAAAATATGAAGCTTCTAATATGATCTAAGATTAACATTTCCAAAGCTAAAGAAAAACATCAGTTTAAGAACTTCAAGAATTAAATATTAATAGTGAAATATACTAACACCCTTTCAAGTGCAAATTTCTCTCTTTTTAAGATTTTACTTATTTGAGACAGAGAGAGCGCATGAGCAGGAAGGAGAGAGAGAAGCAGAATCTCCACTGAGCAGAGAGCCCGATGCGGGGCTCCATCCCAAGACCCTGGGACCATGACCTGAGCTGAAGGCAGACTCTTAACCCACTCAGTCACCCAGGCACCCCTCAAGTGAAAATTTCTCAAAATTTTTGATTACAGAATACACAGAAATATTTTTATAAAAAATACAAATAATGAAAATAAAGCAAACACCCTCCAATTAATTAAAGGTCCCTTCTCCAATCCTAGCTAGGGCCACATCTCCTTTTGGTGTACTATTTCTTTCCAGATTAAAAAAGAAATTTTATATATATATATATATTATATATTATATATATTATATATATATATTATATATATATATTATAATATATATATGATATATATATATGATATATATATATACATACACACATACATGAAAATATATACTTATTAAATGTACACAAAAATATTAGTTGTGTGGATTTTTTCAAAAAACATAAATGGTAAATAGGACACATTCTACTGATGCTGTTCTAAAATTTTTTCTTACTTAAACATGTCTTAAGAATCTTTCCTTTGATGGTTTTATATTTATCTACCTACCTCATAATTTTGAACTCTTATATCCCTGTGAATAAACCATACCCCTTTGAAGGATATTTACTTTCTTCCTAATTATTCACAATCACAAACAATGTTGTGGTAAGAAGGCACATTAGAGTTTCTCCCATGTTTCCTCATGTGCCAAGACCTCTCAAGTGTAGATACCTAGAACAAAACAGCTGGAGTGAAGGGAACGTGCATTTTAAATTTTAATAGGAAGAGCCTCTCTTCACCAGAAGTTTAATACTGATTTAAACTTTCTTCCAACCTCTGGGCAAAGCATCTCAGTTTGTTTTCCTCCATATAATTTTGCCAATAAGAGGAAAAGAAAAATAATCAACATTTAAAAATTTTATTTCTCTTAGGCTGAAAGTCCATACTTAAACATTTTGTTCATACCAAAAATGGCAGTTCATGTCTTATCTCAAAATGTCCTCTATGTGTGGAAAAAAGAAAAAGACTAGGTTGTTTTCATAAAGTTGCTATAAATTATCATGAAATATAAAACTCCAAACAGCCATGCTGCTGTCAGACCAGAGCTACTTATTAATTGCCTTTCAGTATGATAACTTAGTTCCTTTTTTTCTTTCCTTTTCTGTTACAGCAACCTATTTCCAAATTCTGCCCATATAAGGAAAGACAATTTGTCACCAGAATTAGATAAAAGCATACTTAAGTTTAGCGGAACAGTTGCAGGTGATGAAAGTGAAAGCAAATAATTCATTGGCTGATAAGGTTTTCATTTTGGCTAAACCTATACAACTGATTTTTTATTTTATTGTGATTATAGTATTAAAATTATGAAAGCATCAAAATAATTTTTATGTATTTAATTGTAAAATGCCCATATATAGGCATAGTTAAAGTAATATACGAGTCATAAGAAAAGAAATGAACAGTCACAACATCATTACAGAGTACGTTAACTGCAGCCTTGCTCTACCGTACTCTGTGAAGATGGATTTGATGACCTAAAGCAAGAGTCAGTATGAGCTACTCAGTCCCAAGCAGCTAGAGATACACCATGATGGAACATATGGCCCTCTGCACACGTACAGCACCATTTGCCAGTTACAACTGAGAACTGTCCTCCTCAACTAAAACAGAGAACTGTATTTTGGTTGAAAAAGTTTCCCAATCACAATGGAGTCTCCCGGAGTCTCTCAGCTCATTACTACCATTCACAATAAAATTCAATAAAGGTCAATTTACGTAAGTGAAAAGATTTAAGAGCAATTTCTTATTACTTCATTCCACTATAAGGTGTACCCATCCTTGGTTTAACCCAAGGGTTTCCTTTGTTTTCCCAACAATTTAAGTAGTTTACATAAGCAAAGCATATGAAGTACAAAACTACAGTTTTCTGAAAATTTTCAGAGATGTATTTCAAATGCAGACTATCAAAGCCGTAAAGGCTAGCCTTCACTGACAGCAAGACTCGCACACCCTTCTGACACAATGTGCAGTCATCCCGGTTTACATCTGCTGAAATGTAAGCTCGACCGCATTAGCTGTCATATTAGTGAATGGAACCGAACAAAATTATACTAAAGAACAATCTGCAACACTTAAAAGCATCTTGTTACATAGGGTTACCAGGACACAGAAGACTATTACCAACCACTTCACAGGAAGTATCTGCCTTCACAAAGAAGCCAGAGAAACACTACAAGTTTTGTTGTGCCCTTTCTTTTAACCGCAGCAACACTTCCACGATTATGGTGTGGTATATTTACTTTAGTAGTGCTTATATTCCACTACTTTAAAATTACCCAGAAACTGAGAAATTAACTTTATGATGAATTACATATAATTTTTTATCAAAAAAGTTTTTACAAAAACATTAATTCAGGAACTTTGCCCAAAAAATTTTACACAGAAACTATTTTTATAAAACATATAAAGAACTTTTCATTTCAACGTTCTAGTGGCTCTTAGAAAGTTAAGGTTAAGTATCTTTTGATCAACATTTTGCAGATCCGTGTATGTACATGATGTTTGCAGGCTAAATGCACTGTTTGCCTGGCTGCCTGCGCCTTGGCTAGACTCTTGACACCAAACATTCCTTTTTCTATCGAAACTAGCATATCCATTTGTACCTGCTTCAAGGCTCAGTTCAGATCTTTCCTCCCTCACTCTTCAAAATTAACAAATACCAATCAAATATGTTAGGTCCTGTGCAATGTGCTATGGATAGAAAGATAAATTATAAATAAGTATGGGGATGCCTAGGTGGCTCAGTTGGTTAAGTCTCAGGTCATGATCACAGGGTCCTGTGATCGAGCCCCACATGGGGCTCCCTGCTGAGCAGGGCGCCTGCTTCTCCCCCTGCTTGTGCATGCTTGCGCTGATACATAAATAAATAAAATCTTTAAAATAAAGAAATAAGTATGGTTTATAACTTCAGGTACTAGTGCGAGAGAGAAAAATGAAACATTTTAAAGAATACATATATAAAATAAATGTGCATGTGAAATTATATATCAAGTGATTTGATAATTCAGCAACTGAGCAATTCATTGGAAAGGAGAAAATAAAGCTTAGAAAAAATGACATTTATTCTGAGACTTGTAGAAGGAAGAGGAATCCACTAGCTGAAATGGTTAAGAGCACATCCCAGGCAGAGTGTACAAAGTATAAGGGCATGATGGTGTCAAAAATACAGGACATGACTCACTAAAGGTTAAGAACCTACTTCCCCTTTGAGCCAAATGGCAGAGAACTTACCCTTTAGCCATAAAAACTAGAAAATGAGCAAAGTATACGAGCCAACTGTTTTCAGACATGAGAACGCAAGCAGTTCAGACCATGATCCCAAAGAAAAGGGACACCAATAAGTAGCCCTACTGTCTGTCTTCCTATTTGGAAAAAATTTATGGACTGTGATACAGGGTGGTAGAGAAGCTTAAGCAGAATATGGCAGCCTTGCTAAAATGAAGACACAGACCAGGAGTTTGACAAAGCTAATGAAGTTGGATTTCAAGAGGAGTGACCTACATCTCCACACATCTGCTTAGCTGTATCTTGAAGTCTTAGACAAAATACTAATAAGGGCAAGCATAAGGTGAAACTCTGTAAGGTCAAGCAAAGAACTGCTGGGAAGTTAGAAGCTGAACAATTCCTAGCATTCACAGAGAACAGGAGAAGATATTTGAATCCTGTCCAGTTCAAGTAGACAAATCATGTGAACCACTTGGGCAGTCAGCAGGCCCCCCATCCCAGAAGGGCCATACCTTAGTAGTAAGATTAGTAGCCTCTGAACTGCCCCAACAAAACTGATTTACAAGTGATTTAACTGCCTGTCAAAACAAACGTCATCATTTTTAATGAAAGATCATAAAGTCCACTCAACACTGTGACAATCTTAATGTATGGCATCATTCCAAAAATTACTAGACATCTGAAAGTGCCACAAATTACAATCCATTAGGGGCACCTGGGTGGCTCTGCCTTTGGTTCAGGTCATGATCCTGGGGTCCTGGGATCAAGCCCTGCATCAGGCTCTCTGCTCAGCAGGGAACCTGCTTCCCCCCACCCCCTCTCTGCCTATCTGCCTACTTGTGATCTCTATCTGTCAAATAAATAAATAAAATCTTAAAAATTACAATCCACAACTTACAGGAAAACAATAAAAACAGACCCAGAAATAACAGAGATGTGGAATTGGCAGATAAGGCATTATAAATATACTCAAGGATTTAGAGTAAAATATGACCATAACGAGAGAGATGATGGGTATGAAAAAGGACCAAATGGAACTTCTAAAGTATCTAAAATGAAAACTGCTCTGGATGGGCTTTAAAGAACTGTAAAGAATCGGTGAATTTTAAGATAT